CCGCGCCCCCAGCACTTCTGGTGGCCCCCAGGACTCGCCCACCCGAGCCCGCAGGCAAGGAGAGGGGGCGGGGCGGGAGGGTGCCTGGGTGCGCGACGCCGCGGTGACCCGTGGAAGGAGGAGAACCTGAGGCACAAGACAGGTGTCTAGGTGGAGCCCACCTAACTGAGATGTGGCTCTGAGCACACAGACTCAGCGGCGGAACCTTCTGGAAGAAAGGCCCCTGAGAAGGTTCTTGCGTGTGCTCCCGGCTGCGTGTTATCTAAGGCGCTGTTGACCCCAGCACTGTCCCAGTTTACTCGTCACTGGAGAGTGTCAGGCTGACTTCCCGGGTCAGAGCACCGACTCGCACTTGAACTTCGCCTGTTGATGAGGCATCTGTCTGTGGGTTTAATTTGCATTTCCCTGCTTACCGCTGAGGTTCAGCACTTTTTCATCTTTACTGGCCATTTGCATTTCCTCTTTTTTCTTAAGTGCTTATTCATGGTCTTTTGACCCCCTCCCCTCCTTTAAAAAAAAATTTAGATGCTTGTCTTTCTCTCACTGATCCGCAGGAGTTCTGTGTTCTGGATCCTAGCCTTTTGTTGGTCGTGGGTATTGCAAAAGTCTCCTCCCGCTCTGTGGCTTGGCTTTTTACCCTCTTAATGGTGTCCTGATGAAGAGAAGTTCTTGATTTTATTTTAAAAATTATTTTATTTATTTAATTGAAGAAATTATTTAAATTCCCCTCTCCTCCCTCCCTCCTCCCCTCTCCCCTCTGGTAACCACTAGTCCATTGTCCATGTCCATGAGTCTCTGTTTGTCCTGTTCATTTGTCGCTTTTAGGTTCTTATCCCACATATAAGTGCTATCATCTGATTTTCAACTTTTTCCGTCTGGCTTATTTCACTTAGTATAATTATTTCAAGGTCCATCCATGTTGTCGCGAATGGCAGTATTTCATCTCTTCTTACAGCTAATATTCCATCGTATATATGTGCCACAGCTGAGAAGTTCTTGATTTTAAAGTAGTTGAATGCGTCTTTTCCTTTAAGGTTGGTGCTTTTTTCTTTTTTTTTTTTTTTGGTAGAAATCCTTATCTCAAGATCATTAGGATATTTTCTTATATTATCTTCCAGAAGGTTGTTTTGCCTTCCACATTTAGATCTGCAATTAGAGTGGACATAAGTCCAGGTTTATGCCTCTTGTCCCAGCATCTCTTCCAGTTAGCGTCTCCTTTTACTCTCAGAAGTGTTTACAAAATTTCCCTGAGCTTTCTTCTTGGAAAACAGCAGCGCTTCTTTGCTAATTCTAATTCCGGCCATTGTAGATGACTGGCTTTTGGAGTGGTGTGGAGAAGTATAAGAGCATGTCCTCAGAGAGCTGGACGTGGGCCCAGCTTTCCCACCCGCGGACTGGGCGGCATCCATGCTCGGTGCCTCGTCCGCGTGGGGGCCCTGGGACCAGCGGAGCGGAGCGGAGCCGAGGCCAGGAACTGCTTCATCGGTTCCTCCCCAGGGCAGATCCTGCTCTGGCAGTCTCTAGCCGGGCTCTGTGCTGGACAGAGAGCCGATGGAATCTGTAGGAGGTTATAATAAACCTCATGTGTGTAAATGGTTGTGAACACAATGAAAGACATTTTGGGTCCAGTTGGTTTGTTCGACAAATAATGTTTCTGGAGTCAAAATATATAGCATGTTCCTTTTACATATAACACAGGTTATGGTTTGGTTTTGAACATACTGTTTGAGTTTACTGCCAGTAAAAGCTCTTCCAGCTCCTGAAGCCGTCACGTGGTGCAGAGTAATGCACAAAGCAAATGGAAGGTGGGTCCGATGAGAAGCGTCTGGCCCACTAGATAAATACAGAGACCCACATTCCTGGTGAGAAGCGTCTGGCCCACTAGATAAATAGAGACCCACATGCCTGCTGGTGTATGAATATTAGGTATGGGTGCAAGTTTCATTTTACTTCCGGGAGCATAGTTTACGTTCAGCAAATTAACCTGGGCTTTCTTTTATCTCCTTCTTACCTGTCTGTATACTTTGCCATTGACCTGACTAGTTTATCTTCGTTGGCCCCTAATAACCATCTTTACACGCACAACTCAAATGAACCCCGATGGTGTACAGTCTTTCCTGCTTTCTCACGTCTCTCTCTCCCCCACTGAATGAACCTTTTCAGCTCCAGGCAAAAAGGCCTCTTGGCCAGTTTGAATCCTTAACAGTGCTCATGTAGAACCGAACACATAGCAAGCGCTCCATGAATGTTTGTCGCATAAACGCTTGCCTCGGCGTTTGTCACATAAACGTTTGCAGGACTTTGCGTAACCAGGCGGAGGTCACATAGCTGAGTTTCTCAGGCATAACCGACTCTCACTGACTTGCAGGTTTAGCCCATTGTTTGCGTTTTAGGTTTTAGAGATTTATATAGTTTTGGTCTTAGAACAAAAGCATCGCTTCTTCACTTGAAGGCATCGTTGCCTGTATTTAGATTTGCTAATCTGAACGTGCACATGAATGTCGAGTTGCACTTTTCTACAGACAGTTTCCGCAAGTTTTCCTCTGACAAAGATGGAGGGAAGGGAGACAAACACCTCATTTCTGGCTGCTTCATCGCCCAGCTTAAGTATTACAAGGGGAAACAGAAGTGTTGAAATTAATTACTTAGCAGAGTGTGAGGAAGGAGCTCCGAACAGTGTGGGCCACCCCGGGAGCGGGCACTACTGGCCGAGGGGCGAGGGGGGTGGCTGCAGCTGAGGAGCAAGGAGCACCAGGCTCACCACTGGACGTTGCCTCACTGGCTTTACGAAGCGCGGGATGATGGTAAGAATTAAAGTAAAAAATACCATGAACCACCTGTGATTGAGTTTACTGCCAGCGAGTGGTAGTTTCCACAGACAAAGGCAAAAATGAACAGTGGTGAGCAAAGGTAAACCCCATCAGAAAGAGGCCAGGAGCGACCTAACCACCTCGTTAAACACACGGAGGGCCTGCTGGAGGCGGCGTTAGGAGAGGCCAGGGCAGCCGTACACATTGCCGGTTCTGCCAACCTCCGCCCTTTGGCTCAAGCCCTTCTGATGTTTTCCAGTGCGGGATGTTATTTGGGGATCGAGGGAAGCATCTTTGTTCCTTTAATGAGGATCGAGTACCTATTATGTGTTAGGCAGGCATAAAGCCCCGGGAAGCCCCATATGAGTAAGAAAGTCATTCCCTCAAAGATCTTACAGGGCGGTCAGGGGGACAGAGGGGAAGATGACTACAGTACAGCATGCGAGGGGTTGGGGTGGAGCACCTACAAAATACACGGGCACAGAGACCCAGCGCTCAGGAGGTTCCCTGTGATCTAAGGCTGAGTGAGGGTGGCAGTGGAGGAAGGAAGGTGGGACGGACACACAGGACAGTGACGGCTGTGCAGGGGAAGCCTAGGGGTCTGCCGGAGTGGGGGAGGGCGCACAGCAGTGAGTTCTGCTGAGCTGGAGCTTAAACGTTCACGGGTGCTGCACAGAACTGAGACTACCAAGGGAGGCAGAGCCAGTGGCAGAAAAGCCAGCGTTCTCTCTTGTGGCCGGCGGGCGACAGGCAACTGTGGAGGTCCAGCCAGCCCAGCCTGGCCAGCTCAGCCACCCCTTTATCCCGAACACCAGAGATATGTACAGTAATGTCTGTCACTCCGAAAGCAGCCCTCTCTCCATCATTTGGAAAGGTGCTGGATCCAGTGTTGTTTCTGAAGTGTTCCTGGAACTCTCACTGAGCAGTGATGTAGGTGGCCAAGTGCCCAGACCCAGATAAGCAGAGATCATAACCACGCCGTTGTAGCGTGCGCGTGCTCGGTGGGAGCCCGTGCCACCGTGAGTGCCAGGTGCGTACCTGGCCTTCGACCCACAGAGGCACGTGGTGGTGGCAGCGTTCCCGTTTTACAGACGAGAGCACGGGCTAGAGGTCGAGCGACTCACGTAGTAAGTGATGGAGCTGGGGGTTGAACCCCCCGGGCCGGGCCTGGGAGAGAAGCGGCAAGGCTAGAACGGCAGAGAAACGAGACGTGAAGTTTAAAATAAACAAGAATGGGAACGAGGATTGTCAGTTGTGGTGAGGGCGGAAAAGCACAGACCTCCTGACAGTGGCTGAAGAGTCAGCTCTGCAAGGGCTCAGAAAGGGGCCTGGCAGGGAGAGGAACAGGGACCCTCGGAATGAATTCAGGAAAACCGGCGTTGACCTCGGTGACAGCCCATCAGCTCTGTAAGGACCATGGAGAGCTCCTAGCTCAGTGCCTCTCTGCATGTGGAAACTGAGGCCAGAGGGGGAGGTCCAATGGCTCCGTAGTGCCACAGACAGCGGAATCCAGGCCTCCCTACTTCCAGGCTAATGTTTCTGCAGTCCAGCAGCCACTCGTCCTGCTTGCAGCACCCTCATTTTCCTCCGAGGAGCCACCTCCTTTGCCTCACTGACCCCCCGTGGGTCTTGGTCAGCTCTGGCAGCTGTAAGAAAAATACCACAGACTGGATGACGTAAAAAAACATTTCTCACGGTCCTGGAAGCCGGGAAGCCCAAGATCAAGGTGCTGGCAGATCTGATGTCTGGCGACAGCCCACTTCCTAGCTTGTAGACAGCCACTCTCTTGCTGTACCCTCACAGGACAGGGGCTCCGGCGCGCTCATACCTCTTGTAATGGCATTACTCTCATCACGAGGGCTCCACCCTCACGACCTAATTACCCCCCAAATGCCCCAACTCCAGGTAGCATCCCTCTGGGGATTAGGGTTTCAACTAAATGTGGGGATTAGGGTTTCAACTAAACATAGTCCATAACAGCCACATCTCCAGCCTCAGCCAGTCCACTAATGCCGTTCCCCCCCCAGACAGGCTAGGGTCAGGGTTAGACAGGGGACTCCACAAAGCCATCAGGGTGAATTAGAGGCTTCTGCCTTTTCTCCAACTGGAGTTGGCCCACAGGGGTCTTCCTCAGTCATCACCGTCAGGCAAGAAGCTGACCCGGGTCCTCGGGAGGGAGGGAACCTAGCCCAAGTGACACCGTTTCAGACTCTGTGACCACTGTGCCTGGCCTTTCATCAGTCACGTCTTTTTTTTTTTTCTTTCTCCATCCTGACTTTGGGAATAACAACACCTGCCCTCTGGGTTGTTAGGGGGATGAAGTGAGAAGGTGCGTGCACAGCCCTTACATCAGTGCCTGGCACCCTGCGAGCACTCACATATTACGGGTATGTACACCGGTGACCTCGAATGAGTTTTCTTTTACTCAAGAGTCTGAAGAAAATAGCGATGTTATTACCACTGCGTCACGCTGTATTCACAAAATTCAATGTTGAGTTAATTGAAAGGGAGATTATCCTGGATGAGTTTGGTTTAATTAGGCAAGGGACTTTTAAAGAGGGACTTGGCCCTTTCTGAGGCTTAGGTACTCTCCCGCTGGCCTTGCGGTATCGTGGTCTCTGGGGAGGGCCATGGGGCAGGGACCAAGGACAGCCTCCAGGCTCCGAGTGCGGCTAACAGCTGCAAGAAAATGGATCCTGCCAACAACTCGAATGAGCAGATTCTTCTCCACCCACACTTCCAGGTGAGAATGCAGGCTGGCCGACACCTGGAATGCAGCCTTGTGAGACCCTGAGCAGAAGACCAGCTAAGCCACGCTGACTCCTCAACTACGGAAACTGTGAGATAATAAATGTCCGTTGTTTTAAGATGTTAAATCTGTGGTAATTTCTTGTGTAGCATAGAAACCTAATACAGTAGGACATTGCTAACATGTGGGCATATTGTTTTCCCCTGATTATGAAGTGATGCTGTATATGTGTTTCTGTCTGTATCCTAAGTAGAAACAGGTAAATAAATGCATGGGACCCATGAACAAAGCCAGTAGCCCCAGAACAAGCAGGAACTGTCAGCACTAGTGGTTACTCGTGAGAACTAGGGGTGCCCACCCCAGTGCTCAGACACACAAGTCAGGTAATGAGCAGGCTCAGCGTGTGTTCCCAGGTCATGCACTACCCAATTGTCCCCAAGACATGACCACAAAGATTGAATCGTACATTTCTTGGCGATGGAATTTCTAGATGGCCTTGCTAATTTTAATACAATATTAATAAGGCAAACATAAGTTTTTAATAATGCTAACAGATCAAGTCACTGTTTCATAATGATAGGGCTACGTTAATCAATCATAAAAACCCAAAGATGAGTTATGTAATGCTACCAAGCAAGACTTAAAATGCATCGTTGTAGGGGAGACACAAAGTTACAGAGAAAAACCTCTGTGAGAGGTTGGAGCTTTCCAGACCTGTAGACGCAGCAAGTGGCATTTACTTATGAAAAACAACTTTAATCTGATCGCTTTGGGAAGAGTAACCAGTTCTCGCCAAGAATCAGTCCGCTTATAACCCAGATGCCTTGACGCAGCCGGTTAGAGATGGTATTCTTTTTCTTTGAGGCCTGCAACCCTGGAAAAATATCAAAGTACATATAGCTGGAATCTAAAAAGGTACTTTAAAAAAAGTAAAGGAAATAATAAACATGTTAGTTAAACTCACGATGTTGATATCTGAAGAAATTGGTTTTGTTATCTTTACATTAGTACATGCTTTATTTGCTATCTAAGGAGTTTGCAGTATTCAAAAGAATCAACCATGGCATGTTTCTAACTGCAGTTGTATTCTTCAAGAGAATTACTTTAATATATTCGCAATTGTTGTTTAGATGTGAAAAAAAAAAAACCCACAAAGATTTGTGACATTTGGTTCTCTAGACATGAGCTCAAACTGAGCGTTAAACAGAGCACCGGGAGCGCAGATGTCCAGTTCGTGCCGGGTGCTCCTGGGACAGTTAGGGACCTCGGCACCAAGGAAAAGAGGACCTGCGTTGTGGCGTCGGAGCGGAGGACCTGGTTTTCCAGCACACAACCTCTGCTATAAGACAGAGGACAGAGATCATGGGCATCTCGATGGATTTCCAAGGATCTCCGAGCAAAAAAAGCAATTCGCACACAAAACAGAGTGCAATTTCACATGGGGACAAAGCCAACCCTAGTAGATTATATGTATACACGTGACCAGTGGGAAAAGATGACAGGGCCCACTCTAAGCCCTTCACTGTGACACCTGTCGGGGGCAGGGGGACTGGCATGTTTTACCTAGCGTAGATGTCCAATGTGCAGGGTGCCCAGCAGCACCCAGTGCTCAGAGGCAGCCGCCACATACCACCCACGGGTGCTTACTCGGTGCCACCCACTGCCTCGTTTGCCTCCCACAAATTCAGTGAAGTGGGTGCAACTATCACCTCATTTTATGGATGAGAAAACTGAGTCTCCAGTGGGCTCCTAGTGAGTAGTTCACGGAAATGGAAGACTGACAGCCAGACGGCCTGGCCTCCTGGAGCCTGTGCGCCTGTGCGGGAAGACGTCGGGGAGCCCTCCCTACCCCGCCGACTCAATAGCAGCCAGCTAAGGGTCCCATGGGAACGTGCCAAGTGAGCGATGTGGGGAATGAGAGGAAAGAAAGACCGGCCCGTGTGAGGGGTGCTCCTCGCAGGGGTGCGACGCCTCAGATGCTGCTCGGAAGGGCTTGGGTTTTATAACGCGGGCCGTGGGGAGCCGCTGGAGGTTTGAAGCAGGCAGTGGAGTGGGGTGCTGGTGAGCATGGCAGAGCACTGGCCCTTGAGGATTTTTCCGGTAGTCGGTGTGAGGGGCTCGCAGAGACATTGGACATGACAGAGGCCAGGGCCAGTCACGACATAGAAAAGGCCGTGTAGCCTTGAAGATACCTCGGTGAGGCTGTTTAAAAAAAGGCCAGACTGCAGGTTCTAGTTTCTACATGTAGGAATATAGGAAGAGGATGTGTTTTCACTGAAACGTTGCTTACGGATTTTGCTTATTGTAATCATGGAAACATCAGGTAACAGCTCCATTTGAAAATGGATTCCTCAGGCCTTGCGGTATGTGGTGTGCCGTTAGGAACTAGTCTACGTCTCGTACCTGTTCCAGTTTTTCTCCCGCAGCAGCCAGTGACCAGGACACGCCCTGGACAGAGGGGACCCTGCCGGGCTCCTCCTGCCAGCCCCTGCCTTCCTGGACCCCGACACCAGCCTCATACACAGTGCCCAGGGGCCCTCACATTCTCCTGGCACAGGTGCGGGGTGCATCTCCCTTTTCCTTAGCTCTGCTTTGGAGCTGCAGAAGGAATTTGTCCTGGGGAAGGAAGGGAAATGACCCACGAAAGCGAATGAATGCATGATGGCCTCATCTGAGGGCCTACTCATGGATAAGGCTACAGTCCCCTCCCCACCTGTTCCTGCGGACACTTTCTAGGGACACAGGAAGAAGCCTGCCACCGGGCCTTTGTCTTTGGTGCCTGTCACGTTTCGTCCCCACCTGTCTGGCCCTACAGTTCCTACCTCTCACAGTCAAGGTTTCATCAAGGGTCCCCTCGCCAGTGGTATGAAACAGGCGTCTCCCCAGCCAGTCCAGCCCCCGGAGGTGAGGTGGTAGGTGGCACCGCGAGCCTCTTCCTAGCGGCAGGACTCCAGGCTCAGAACCTGAGAATCTTCGCGTCAGGGCAGGATTGTGAGGCTGCATTCTGTCCCCTGCAGAGGCCTGCCCTGCCTAGTTCCTCCCAGGCCACTGCTGTCGAGATGGCTCCTCCCTCGTGGCTCTCTCTTCCATCACTCATTCATGTTGTCAGACGCTGCCTGTCTTCTGCCGGAGCGTAAGGGTGCTCTAGCCAGCCCCCTCCTCAAGCTTCTTCCCAGGGGCGTCTCCCCGAAGCCAGCCATGTCCACAGTGCAAGCAGCAGGTAGGACCACCGGGAGGGGTCAGGGAGGGAGAGCAGGGTGGGCTTGGCCAGAGGAGGAGGAGAGGGATGGGGTATGAGGAAAGGGTCCTGGTAGCAGAGGCGGCCTCTGCTTCCTGAGGACCCCAGCCCACTGCGGCCCTCCAGGCCCGCTGCCTCGCAGAGCCCGGGCTCCGGGACAGCTCCGCCTCGGAGCCTTGGTTTGCCTCTGCGCTGTGGCCTGCGGGACCGAGACGGGCTGTTCTGGCAAAGCAGAATTAGGGCTGAGAGAAGGGGGCCCAGACCCGCACGGGCCTGTGCAGAACCACCATCTGGGGATGGTTCACACAAGTCCTCTACTGCCCTCAGGAAGTGACATCTTCGTCTCAACTCGGCAGTGGTCATTTGCTTCCCCACAACCAAAGAAGATGCCTGGTTGTCACCAGATTCAGTACAAGTTCACTTCAAGTTCACCTTGGTTTCTACCGCCATAAACAATTGGGATGGGTCTCAGAGGGAATTACCTTCTGTAAACCGGAGTAACGTCCATTGACAGCGGGCAGAACAGCTTTGGGGTGACATCACTACCCCTGAATGACACTAATCACAAAAACCCACCGAGCCTTCGTCGTCTTCACAGCCATCTTCCCATCTCTCTCTGGGCACTCTAGAGTTTCTAAAACCAGGAATGGCCTATTTCTAGTCTGAGAATGCGTTTCTAGTCTGAGAATGCACTTCACAGTGTTTGGGCCAGGGCTCAGTTCTGGAAGCGGAAGGACCTAGGTTTGAATCCTCACTTATTTGCCAAATAACCCCGGGCAAGTGGCCTCGAGTTCACTCTCATGGTCATTGAGCACGTCCCGCATTCCATGACACCATCCCGGCCCACGAGGGGGCCAGCAGACAGACTCGGCGGGGACAGGCTCTTCCCTCATCGGCAAACCAAGGGTAATAATACTCGAGTATCATGGCCCCGATAGGAAGTACGAATCCCCACACAGTGCCCAACAGGAGCGTGGCAGATGTTGGTTTCCCCCTTGACATTCCCATTTAGAAACGTGTCAGTCTATAAGTCGGTGAGGTAAAAATGCCCCCACAGAAGGGACACCGTGAAAATTCTGAAATTATGTGGCAGTCTTGGGGTGAGCAAGGCTGGCTCCCAGGGGCGAGGTGACTTGCTCAGGTCGCACGGGGCGTTGTAGACCAGTCCAGATGGGAACCAGGTGTTCCAACCACAGCCCACTTCCTCCACGGGCCTCCCACGACTTCCAGATTTGGCCGACGTCTTCCGGGACTCCCCTTGCCTCCAGTCAAGAAGCCTTGGACAAGCACCCTGTCCCGTGACTCTGAATATGGCAGAGTTAAAGGCGTTACACTAGTTTTGTGTGTGGTTGCCACAGACGTGTCGACTCCGTGTTTTTAGCCTCTCATCTGTCTGTGCGTCGTACGTCCACGAACCCTGCACAGCTCTGCAGGGGTGAGCGCAGCTGCCTGGAGACCTACTCAGCTAGAAACTTGCTAACCAGAATTTACTCAGTTCTCATGAGGATTGCTAGAAAATGGTGACTGAAAGCGATGCTTTCTATGTTCCGTGCACGAGTAAGTGTGGTCATCCAGTGGGGACCACCTGTTAGTGGAGAGAGGAGCACAGATTTAAGTACAGTAATGTATATATTACTTACGATAACATGTACCATGTGACTGGCCGTGAAGTCGTGTGTTGTGTAGAAACATTTGTGCTTAATTTATAAAATATTTAGAAATATTTGCCTAGTAGAATTGCAAGGTTTACTGTTAAAACCGAAAACTCGGTATGTAGTTAAGGTAAACAATGAGCAAATAGCATATATTTGGCGAGGGCCTTCTCTGAGCCAGGCACTTGTTACTGCTTACAGCCTCGGGTTTTGAAACGGTATTTGCTTCCTCCCCGCCCCTTGTGAGATGCTGGCTTAAATGTGAAAGACGCTCATGTGATGGGTTATTCACACTTCTGCAAGCCTGTCAGAAAGGGCAGGCTCCTCGTTATGGTTTCCTCTGGTTCCATCTGAGGAGAGCACTTGGTAACTGTCAAGGTCTGGAGTGCAGTGGCACCTCCTCCAGCCCCGGGCAGGGGCCAGCACGTCCACTGCCCCTCCAGGTCCCATGCCGAGTGCTCCCAACAAAACATGTACACATAGCAATTAAAATCCCGTTTACTCACTTTCATGGAAATGGCTATGCTAAACATTCTTAAATGTATGCATGATATAAAAGTAGATTAAGAACAGAATTTCAGCTAACTGAAAACTATGCACAGAGGAAGGTGTGGTCCAAGTCGTCTTCGGTAAGGATGTATTTCTGTTAAAATCAGCAAACAGTGGCTTTCCTTGTGCACTTCGTGTGGAGACAGTGTGCTGTGATCATTAGGGTCCCGCGGGCTGGACGTGGGGTCTGAAGAGCCCCCTTACTTGGCTGGCAGTCCTCAGAAAAGTTACAAAACCTCTCTGTGCCTCGGGTTCCTCATCAAGCGGTTGAGAGATATGGACGCCTACTTCGCGGGATGGCTGGAGGGTGAGCTGAGATGTAAAGTACGCTGCGTGTGCGATTAACGCCCGGTCTCACTTGGAAGTAAGCGTCACCGACCCCTGCTCTTACGACGCAGGTCGCCGCTCTCTGGCCTGGTCCAGCACCCGTTCTCCTCGGTGACTTTCATACCTTTGTCTTTTCTCCTCGAAACTCAACCCTCCCTCTTCTATCCTTGGCCTCAGGTGCTGACATTGTTTCCTGTTTCGCCCACCCGCACCGCCGTCCACGTGCCCCGCCTTCTCCCCTCTCTCTGGGCACCAGACCCTGTGCCCTTTGGCCTCTTCCCTCTTTCTCTGCATCCTCCCTCTTCGGGATCCAATTGTCCCTACCAGCCTATAAACATGCTGTTACTGTCTGTCCCCTTAAAACACAAACGCTGGTCCTTCTGGCCTCCTCACGGCTCTGCTCACCTTCTCACTCGCCCACTCTGGACACGGATGCAAAATCACACACCACTGCACGGCCCTGCCGACTCCCTTTGCCCTTGACCCTGCTCATTTCACAACCCCCACCCCAGCGCTTTACACTTCCCAGCGCCACGCCCACCCCATCAGAGCCTGGGCTGCTGCACAAGGCAGGATGCCGCCGGGCAGACCGTGCGCTCCAAAATGCTGGCTGAGTTGGCGAACGGCCGTTGGCCCCTGAGAGCATCTCGGACCTTCTATCAGAAGAAGGATGCTTCACAGATACCTTCCTGCACGTGCCGTCCTTCCGTTAGGTCAGCGAACGAACTTCACTTTGGGATATGCATGCATCTAGGCAGCGGTGTGAGCTCTGCCCCTCTCCCCCCTCCAGCTGGCCTCTCTTGATCCGCTGTCACCCGCAGCCAGAAACCTGAGCTTCCTGGGTCTTCCACACCCACCCAGGAGGCATCACGTCTTGATGGCTCTTAACTGCTCTCACAGGCCCCTCCCCATCTCCACAGCTGTCCTGTCCTCCTTGCTCCCCCTGCGCCCTTCCCCCAC